TATTTTGAAATCTATATAATTCAACTTGTATTCTTAACAATGATCCCAAATAACCTATGATATTAGCGAATTTCCCATATAGGGAATAAGCTATTACCGTAGTACTCATGGTAAGACCTGGACCCGGGACCGATTTTTTTTCGTTTTGAGGTCCCTAGAGGCCAAAAACACCATCTGTTCAAATTCATATATATATATATATATGTATATATATATATATATATACATATATAAATTGAATAATCCAATATATGAAAAAATAGCAAAATTGAGAAAATAATAATGAAAATAAGTACAACACATCATATAGTATATAAATTAAACAATGAAGATAAAATTTACATATCTTATTTTGATTTTTGTTTACTTTGAAAATGGCCTTAGAGCCGAAACTATAGTCAGTAAATATTTTAATAAATAATTTTACTTGGGTACTAAGTTTATTAATGTTTAATCTTTATATATATATATATATATATATATATATATATATATATATATATATATATACATGAGTGTGTGTCCTTCAGCGCGATAACTCGAGCAAAAATGATCCGATTTTGATGAAATTTGGTACAAACGTGTAAACCTACGTTTATTTGAACGAGTTCGCGAACCAGCATGATCGGACCATGGGAACAGGGGTTTATGGGGGCTTTTATGGGGTAAAAATGAGTTTTTCCTATTTTTGACCCAAAAAACATAAAATTTTGAAATTTCTTTCCAAAATATTTTGTAGAGCTTAACAAAAACAAATAATTAAGTATATTTAAGCGTTATAATGCGCCTAATGGTTACGGAGAAAATTCCAAAAAATTGGTAATTTAAAATTCCCATGTTATTCTTATGGAGAATAAGTAAACCGTTGTAGTGTGCTTGTTTATTAACATAGTTTGCCCAAATTTGGAAAATGTTTTTATTTCTTACTATCTATTAACATTTTACATAAAAAACGATTTACCCTCCCTGTTGCAGCAAACCTAAGTATGTGTTAAACTGATTCCATTTAAATAGGGAATAAATGTGATATTTTTAAGGAGACATTTTAGTCTAAATCCAATCATGCAAATGGAAATTCGCGTAGTCTGCAGGTTTGCTGCGGCGGGGGTATTTTTACGTTGCAATAGTACTAAAGTCATTTCTTTGTTAGTAAAATTTACGAGAATATGGAGTATATAAGCCCTAGACATTGCTATGTCAAGAATTTGATCCTTCCCTCTCATATACATCAACCCCGTATAACCCCGCCCCTACTGACAATACTGTACTATAGTACTGTATTGATTCTAGTCAGCTGATCGTCCCTAGAGCTAGGGTGACGTCATTGATCGAATGGTCCGAATACAACCATAGGCTACTAGTACCTTCTAAATTGCATTGTAGAGAACAATAAAGTGAGAAGGAAATTATATTCTTTAGCGTGAGTACGGTAAGCTACTCAGCTTAACCTACTAAGTTATATAGCTATCAAGTGGATAAGAAGCATCCTTTTAAGTTTTACATATTTAAAGGGAATAACACGTGTCTTCGGTGTATTTACTATGCACACAACGTACTTAAAAAATTTGCAAAATGCAGAAGTTTAATAAGTGTGCCAGCTTCTCTAAGTGTTTAAACTTCGATCATATTTATCATTATCAAAACTAGTTGTTACCCACGGGCTTCACCCCGTTTGACTTTTATAAGTATTAATAAAACTATTGATTGGTTAAGAGCTGAAATAATCTAAACAGAATACAGTAATACAAACAAATAATCACACCTAAGGTAATACATTGAAACAATAACAAACAAATAAGCACAGCTGAGGTATTTTTAACCGACTTCCCCACTACCAACAAAAGGAGGAGGTTCTCAATTTGTTTGTGGCGATGTTTTTTTTTTCTATGTATGTTCACCAATTTCTCTGTGATTCTTTTACCGATCAGTGTGGTTCCACCACCAAAATAACCAGGAGAGTTTCTATTTGGTACCTTATATATTATGTTTAAGTATAATATTTGTTTCGGTGAAAAATTCTGAAAACCTTAAATATTCAACATTTATTTTGTTTACATTTGTGCAGAGAAGGCAATAAATCATAATAACATTCCTACAGCTGTTAGTTGAAACCATTTAAATGAAGCTACAGACAATTTTTCATGAAACAGTTGCTTCATATTGATCAAAAAACTATTTCTTGCCATGGAGCCTAAATAAATTACATTGAGAAAAATGCATTTTGTTTTGGTTAATATAAAAAATGTATTTTAACGTTTTACCTGATTTGTGTATACAGTAATTCTGTTTTTAGTATTGAATATTCTGACTTACAAAAACATATATGTTTCAGTGAATAGCTGTATGATATTGTTGACAAATAAAGGTGTATTGTGAAAAACCAAAGCATTCGTAAAACAGGTCTAAATATAAATCAAATGCAATTATTCCTTACACGACCTAAGAAGTGTGACAGTGCATAATCGTCGATTGTCTTAAAAGTGTTAAATATTTTAATTACTTAACATGCATTTGCAGATGTGGAATGTTTATTGATATTCTCTACCCAGTTACTACATCATATCAATACTATTATGCCTGCTTCGGGAAGTCCTAGAGGAAGATGATTTGCAATTTCGACTAGGCTATATCTTGATCAAAGAAAACCACCTACATGGCTTGCACCACTTTTAGCTGAACCAATCTTTCATATACATATTTCATTTGCAGATGTGGAATGTTTATTAATATTCTCTACCCAGTTACTATAACATATCAATACTATTATGCCTGCTTCGGAAAGTCCTAGAGGAAGATGATTTGCAATTTCGACTAGGCTATATCTTGAGCAAACAAAACCCCCTACATGACTTACACCACTTTTAGTTGAACCAATCTTTCATATAATATTTTCCAAAGGTACTATACGAAAGGTACTATAGTGTTAACGACCAATTTTCCACTTTTGAGAGATTTTTTAGTGCTGGTAGCTGAGGAATAACTTTCATATTGTTCCAAAAGGCTTGAGACGTTACTGTATTTCTTTTTATAATGTAGAAGTACACCGATTGCAGGGAACGATGATGTCTGACATTTCAATGTATCTAGAAAAGACAATTAGTTTTTCATTAGGCCTAATGTAATGGACAACTCTTTCTTTCTTAAGGAATATCTAAAGATGTTTATTTCCATACCCATTGATTATGTAACCTGAACAGGTGACTCAAGCAGTTTTAAAATAATGATTGTTCTGTGGAACTTTTGATTGTTTCAAACAGTTTTGCTTATCGAAAATCCTCATGTAATTAATGTATAATATACAGTCACTAAAAATCATGAAATAATTTATTTTTGTAAAAAAATACAACCGACTTCAAACGCTCTAAAAAGAATGAAATAATTTCAATAAAGTAAAAACTTTTGTATTAGACAAGCTCACGTATTTCAAGTCGGCGCGGCTCAAACTGCAAATATGATTGATGTGTGTGTATTTTGAAAATCAATAAATTGTAGCTGGATAACATAAATATATAAAAAACATACTGAACTGTTTTATTGTTTATACCTATATTAAAGGAAATATTTTCTTGTATTTTATGTTTACTTCAGAATAAATGCATTATGAAAATAACACACACAAATGTTCTATATGAATAGGAAAATAATTTAGTTTGATATTATGATAGGGAAAAGAAGCTAGTTTAGTATTAAAACGTTACTTTTCCAAGTTAGAAACATTTAAATGCGTTATAATCTTTTTAAAGATACTCGTTAATACCACTATAATACCGATCTCTGATTACGGTGATAAAATAACACTTAACGCATAACTATGAAAAAGACATGCAGATTAACACCTTTAATTATAGATAGTCACCTGCAATATGGACACCCTCTTTCAATTTTGCATCAAAAATCATCATAGAGCCGCGCTGACTTAAAATACGTGAGCTTGCCTAATACAAAAGTTTTTACTTTATTGAAATTATAACATTAGGTATATGGAAAGTCCCCTTTAGAAAGAAACTACGGCCTTGAATGGCAATTTATGAAATAATGGATAGTTTTGCGCGTAGCTTCTCGTCATGACGAACTTTTGAAGTATATGGTTAGAGGGTGTGACTTGTAGTTTTCTCAAAAGTTCATGGGTACTTTGAAGTTTATTTTTGGATATTTGCAGATATATCAAGTAAAGAAAAAACAATAAAATTATTCATGCTGCTGTCGAATTTCTTGTACTACTTCTTAGAATTGTTGTTTCTTAACAAGAACAACTTCTTTTAAAAGTGCAATGTAAATTCATAAGCACGGCAGCAAGCCATGCTTAAATGAAAAGTGTGGCTATGTGTAAAGGGTCAACGACCTGTAAAATATAAGGGATTAGCAGCCAATACCCTTAGCATTGCATTGCAATTGAAATACCTAAACACATTCTGCATTCGCATATTTAGGGTTCCAGAAATAATAAGGATTTAGACAAACCTTTTGGACTAAGTTGACCAATATCGAGTTGGACGGTTTGTAGTTTCTATAATGTTTAACATAAAGAAAATAACATAAAATGCTATTAGATTGAAAGGTAAAACATAATTTTACACGGATCGCATGTGCTTGAAGCCATAACTAACATCTGTGTCAGAATCAGAAGTCTGCATTGCAGTAGGGCACGACTGAATGACCTAACTACCAACAAACTACAAACTGTTAATTAGCTTCCCCATTTATTTATCATAAAAAATAATTATATTGAAACAAATTTTAGTCTTTGATTAAAATTTGTTATACATTTGAACCTTACATGAACCGCATTAGTTGTATGTCGGTAAATAATGATAATGAAACCGTAACGGTAATGTCCTGGAATATAAACTCAAAATAATAACGCTTGTAAAATCTAATTCATCGAACTACTAAACTACTGGTTAGGTTTGTGCATGTGATATAATTTTTTTTAATGTCTCTTTGTTTGGAAGAGAATTATTTCCGGTTGTTTAGGAAAATGACATTGATGAAAATCTTACCTGTATGAGATGGTCTTGGTTTTTTCCTGAAACAGAAAATTTTGAATTACAAAACTGCGATGGAAAGAGTAGTTGTCATATGTTTTATGTGAAACTCTACAAAACCTTGTAAAGGTTAATGAATAACTTCTTAATCATCATTGTACGTGTTATTAAATTTACGAAAGTAAATAAAAGAGACAACCTCCTATTGGTTCTGATGATGATTGGAGTGTCCAATCGAAATCGATCACCACTTACCATCTTTTTTGTATATTTACCGTCTTGTGAGTAACAGTATAAGCGTAAATATAAGTTTTAAGTGTTATAAGGCTATATTTTATTTACTTTCCGTAAAAGTTAATGCTTTCTTATTTTTAATGCTTGTATTTACTAACTACTATATAAGTAGGTACATCATTTACAAAATTTAAATACATTTACTAGATACACTATCTTTGATTCAATTCATCCTTGTAACAAGATTATGCTATAATAAAATTGTATTTATAATAAAAACTATAGAACATTTTTTTTGCTCCAAAACGCATTTTTAATGTTTTAAAGTCAACCGGCCTAGCAGGACCAGTCTATTTTTCAACTTCTTCTTGATTACAAATGTATTTTAGTTTAAAGAGAAGCGAAATTTTGAAATTTTGTTAAAATATGTAATCCAAAACTCTATATAGATCTATCTATCTCTATCTAGCACTATTTGACGTAAAAGTCGTTTTAGAATATTCATTTTACAAAAAATTTCTCCGTTAAAATTGTTCAGATCCGGCCTCAAGCAATATTACACATTCCTCAGCTATCCACACGGTGTTTTGAAGGCAGTTAACCAAGGATGTAATGGACCAGTGGACTGTAAAATCTGGCTCAGTAGAGACCAAAACAGCGCGGTGTTCGAGACTGATGTTTTCAACACTTGGAATTTTGAAGTAATAATAGATTCCTTTATGTTTGCATTAATACGTTGTTTCAGAAGGGGGTTTTGCAAATTAGGAAGTTTGGGTTTTTAAAGTGTAGTTTTTTTTTTTTTTTATGGAACAAAACATTATTAACTTAAAACTAGTTAAATGCGCATTGATTATTCTGAATCTATATTGGTCTTGACAAACGATCATTTTTTTTTTAATACAAACCTGATTATGATGAAAGGTTTGAGCCAGCAAGTTATAAAGCTATCCAGGTTAACAGGACCAGTTTATTTTTTAACTGCTTAAAATGGTGAAATTTGGTTTAAAATGCTAAATTGACATTCATTAAGGGTTTTAAAGGCAGTTTTAAGTCGATAAAACGGATATGGATGTGAATAGGCCATACACCGTTACCTAGGATATATTTCTTGGTTCACTTTATATTTGAATTTTGCTCAGTAAGTATTTTACTAGTTAACGTTTATTGCTATTAACAAACTATTATTTAGAGGGAACCGGAAGCTGTAAGACTTGTATATTCTTTTATATTCCAGATGTCCTCGCCTGCAGTTTATTTAATTACACTCAAATTAAAGTAGCTAATATTTTTGTAAACGAATTGTCAATTCACGAGGTAATAAAAACCGTACAAAGAACGAACATTAGTAGATGCGAACGTGTTATCAAATTATCCAGAAAGTATCCAAGGCAGATCCCAGTCACGCTACATGGCGTGTAGACAGAGTTGTGACTAATGTGGCGCCTCTAGCGGATAAATGAACAACTGACATGATCAGCTGATCATCATGGTCAAGCTTTGTCTTATGTACCCTAAAACATATGTTTCACTGAGCCTTAATTCATTTGTTTGAATGTGTATCTAATTCTGTACTGACCTAACACAACACTATAAGCACAAAGATTTTATATAAATGTAGTATATAGCTTCTTGATCAGCATTATATGTGATATATAAATTATGACTACGTTGGTGTGAAAAAATATGTTTGTATGATAAATTACTCTTTAAATAATTTAATAATTTCTTTAGTAGCAGTTAGAATTTATCCAAGATGGCCGCTGACCTCCAAGGACTCTTAAACTGTAAGTTGGATGAATGAAGTATTGACTATATATTAAACCCGCTTATCAGCAAGGACATAAAATTATATTTCAAGGAAAATGAAAAATGATTTGCTAAAATTTATTTTCATAATAATGGTTTTAAATTATAATAACCTATTTATCTGCAGAAAACCTTTTACCGTCTGTTACAAGAGCTTCTAAAAGCACGACTTGTGTTTTCGTCGTATTTTAAAAAGTTGTATTTCTTTCAAAGACACAGAAACTTTTAACTGGTTATCAAAGAGTTGGTTTGACTAGTAGAGATAATTTACAATGTGAAACTTCTCAACTGTGGAAAGACAAGGGACGATGAATAAAGAGCTTTGAGAACTTTATTTCAGGAACACAAAGTGGCCAAGTTAACCGTTCCAAGTGAAAATATCTGTAATTTTCCGTTAAATGATTGTGTAAGTCTTTTACATTAGGATTTTCTTCCGTTTAATACGCTATCCAACATTACTACGGCATTAAATTGTGGGAAAGAAAGGCTTAATAGGAGTGGTCAAATATTGAGAAGAAGGAGTGTATGAATTTTTGTGAGTAAGTTAAAGTGTTGATTAACAATATCCTGTTGTGCTGACCAACTGGCTTTAACTTGGTCGGTGTACTTGGTCTGGGGGTTAGATTCTTTTATAGGGGTTACTGTGATGTACTGGATGACAGGTTCCTTCTAGGAGGGGGGGGGGCTGGAGCCCCAGGGCTTTGGCCTTAAGTTCAGGTAAGACAAGTGAGGATTTTCCAAATTCGGGTTTAGAGTATTTTTCCAAATCGGGGTAACGGTTTTAATCTAAGTTATTAACACTGATCTAGTCTACTATTTCTGTTGATTGTTATTTATCTTTTTTTATTTTGTAGGCTGAGAATAAATTCGGGTTTTTTACCGAGTGCTGAGTTTGTTCCCTGAGCTACGTCACTCAATGTTTTAAAGAAGGTTTTAGGTTACCTTCCATTACAAATGTAAAATGGATTTCATAAAATAAAATTGTCATATTGTTCTTCCTACTAGTATTAAAGGTTGTGTTCATGTGTAACAAAGCTTAAGGAATTATATAAATATTCACTGAAATCCAAGCCTACGAATAAAATATTTGATGAGGAGATGAAAAATCAGGTTGAGTTCTGAAAGCTGTTAAACTGATCGTAAATTCGTTGAAGGAAGGCGATGAAACGTAAAACTCCGTTCTCGACGATTTCCCTCTTGTGCATAGAATCAAACCATTCTCTTTTATCGATATCCACGAAACCCAAAGAACAGGCAAGGCTATTACAGTAACTTTTGGCAATTATAGGTTTTGTTCAATACAATTTGCAAATTTCTTGTGTATAAGTGCAATATAACTATCAGCTATTAATTAACAGCTGTCTAAGGAACATGTCGGTCTTAGTCACTAACAAGACTACAAGATCACGCCACTCATCCTACACTTGACTCTTATTTAATACGCACATAGTGGCGTATAATAATTAATAATTGATAAATAATAATATAATAGTAATGAACGGAAAAACACTAAAAAGGGAAAGCAAGCATATGTTATCGTATGTGTGAAACTTTAATGACATTCTTTAGCTGTTTTAACTATTGAAACGATATTAACAATGTTGGTAGTAATTAATGCAATAAATATTAGCACTTTATAGTAAAAATAGTACTATTAATGAGAGTACCTAATAAATATAATAGTGGTATGAATATAAATAGTACCGGTACCTAATAAATATAACTAATAAATACTATAGATCAATAGCACCTTTTTATTGAGTGAATAAGCATTTGATAAACAGCAAACTAACAACAATAACAACATACTATATGATAATTGTTTTATGATTCAATATATTTTGTTATCTTAAAATTCATATTTAATTAGGATAGTGTTGGATAATTTTCTTTGCCCAAGCAAAACCGCATGAGAACTGTCAAAACATCTTGAACCACCTTATTCAGTTAACATTGTTTATCCACCTTAGTTAATAATGACTAGACTAACACATCTTGGTTAAAACTCATGTATGTAATTATATTATTGGAGAAAAAATAATATCATGTAGTGGTCAATTTTTAAAACATAGTCCTTAATTTTAACCAACAAGGAGGAAAGATTTCGGTAAATGCTTTAGAAAATTAATTACTATCAAAGCTTGCATTATTACATTCAATAGTGAGACGGGTATGAATGATTGTAGCTATCTTCTGTAAATATGAAATAAAACAGTTCCATATAAAAAAATTGTTTTATTGTGTGCTAGGACCTGATTTTACATCATAGTTTTAATTCCCCTTCTGGGATAAAACAAATTCACTCATAAACCCATTGACTATTAGTAGGTATAGTTAAGCATAAGAACTGCCGAAGAAAATGTATAAAATAATATGACATAAACAACTTGAATTTAATATTTTATCTTCATGAAAAGTAACTTTTAATTGCCAAGTCATACAGATTCATAAAGCTCAATCCAGATTTGTTACCTAATACTGACTCAATCACGAGTAAAAACTCGATTGTGAAATGCTAATTTAGTTTACTCTTCTTTCCTCAGATAACAAGTTTGTAACTGACTTACCCTCATATCTGATGTCTTTGGCTGTTTAGAACTTTCATCTATTACATTATCATAAAGTACTTTGAGTTTTAAGCTTGGTCTTTGTCTTTTTCAAAAAGTTAGTATCATCGTTAGTCATAAAGGGTGATAATATTAGCCACAGAAACCTCCTTTAAATGAACTAGCCAGTATTTCAAATTCACATGGATCATAAGCCTCATCGTCAATTTGTGACCGTAAAAAGGGTTTCTACTTTGTAATGTTGGCAGGGACAGTGCATGAAAATGTTCCAAACAATAACGACGAAGATACTGAAATAGTTTATAGCTGTTTATTAAAAACCAAATTAAACAAGCTCCTGATTGAAAACTTTTTGTAACTCAATCTATAATTAGCCTAATTTTTATGATAGTTATATGTAGTATTTGGTTGCGTCAAAGTAGGGGGATTAGTTC